ATTGCATACAGGTTTTCGTTCAAGTAAATTGATTCTACCCATATCATCAAAGTGAGGTCTGGTGTCCTCTCTGATTCAGTAAGCCTTCATGGCTGCTACTGCCCTTCATTCTCACCGACTAGCCTGCTATGGTTTAAACACCTCTTTCTCTCTTTATCCCAGGAAACCCATTTTCTCTCTCTTCCTCGCAAACCCCACATTTTCTGTGGTGTCAACCGTGAGCTCTTATGCTTCTTCAAATTCTAATGGTTTCAGTGGGATTTCTTCTGCCTTGGACTTGACAGCTTCAAGGTCTCTTCACCTTTCCAGAGCATCAGCTGGAGGTGCTCTCTCTCTCTCTCTCTCTCTCTCTCTCTCTCTCTTTACTTTACTATCCTTGCCTTCTGAAAATGGCAGTGGAAAATCTACTTTCCATTACTTCTGGAACTGACAGGAGTTGTGGAATTTGCAAATTGATTAGATATAAGGAAACATTTATTTTTTTTGTCTTTGTGGTTATTGGACACTAAATTTATGAAAGAAAAATTCGGAATCAATGGTGATATTCTCGTTTGATCCTTCAGTTCTTATGTTCACGTTTTGTTTTTTCCGACCATTTCTTAGTTTCAAGTTCATCACTAAATGTGGTGAGTCAACTAGTTTGTAAATGCAAATAAGTCTCTAGTTTTTTGGTATGAATTTGAAATATTTGTGCAACAATTAAGGGTAACTTCCATTATTGATCATATACATGAATGAACAATAAAGGAGTTAAAGAAGAAAAATAGAACACTGAACATAAGGTCAATGTCATGTGGAATGAGATAATGAGATGGCTGATTGTATCAAGTAAGCGGCAAAACAAGTTTTAGGAGAATCTAGATGGAAAAGAAATTTCGATAATGAAACTTGGTGGAGTGATGAGGTTCAGAAGGCCATTTGCGAAAAGATCATGTTATAGAACTTGGCAATATAATAGAAATGATCAAAACTTAGAAGAATATAAATATGCTAAGAAAAATGCTAAATAAATAGTATGTAAGGCTAAATTTAATGCATATGAATATATGATAATCTACAATAAACTAGGAGCAAGAAAAGGTGAAAAGAAGTCTTCAAATCTCAATATTGAGAGAGAAAAAGTATAAGAATCTAGACCATATTAAATGCGTTAAGAGTGAGGATTAAAAGGTCTTGATGAACAATAAAGAGGTCAATGAAAGATGGACAGTTTATTTTAAAAAATTATTAAATGATGAACTTAATGGGAACTTAGCCGTAGAAGGAACTGTTGGCATAAATGAGGGTGGAAGTCATAGATATATTCATAGGTTTAGGATATCGAAAGTGAAAGAAGCTTTGAAGAGCATCAAGATATGAAAGGCTTTAGCTCTAGATTGTATCCAGATGGAGCTTTGGAAGTACATTGGGGAGATTGGCATTGACTAGCTGACCAAGTAGTTCAACGAGGTATTGAGAACAAAGAAAATGCTAAACGAATGGAGGAAAAGTATTATGGTACCTATTTACAAGAACAAAGGAGACATATAGAATTGTGCAAACTATTGAGGGATCAAACTTATGAGCGACACTGTGAAGCTGTGGGAGGGAGTGATTGAACAACAACTAAGGCATGAAACGAGTATATCAGAAAATTAATTCGGTTTTATGCCAGGGAGGTCAACAACCGGGGCTCTTTTCCTACTTAGGCAATCGATTCAAAAGTTTAGGGCTAAGGGAAAAGAACTCCACATGGTTTTTATTGATTTAGAGAAAGCCTATGATAAAGCACCTCGAGATTTTATTTGGTGTGTATTGGAAAACAAAGGAGTCTCTCGACACTACATTGACTTGGTGAGATATGTACGATGGAGCACTAACTAGTGCACGAACTAGTGCACGAACAACTAGTGGAGAGACGAGTGAGTTTTCAGTGGTAATAGGTCTACATCAGGGGTCAGCATTGAGCCCATACTTCTTTATCTTAGTTATGGACGACTCAACTAGGCATGCATGCTGTTTACAGATGACGTAGTTTTGATCGATGGGTACAAAGTTAGAATTTTGGAGGGATGCTATAGAATTGAAAGGTTTTAAAATAAGTTGGAATAAGACAGAGTATATGGAATGCAAGTTTAGTAATAATAGTCGAGACGAGGAAGTAGTTAAGACTGATGGTCAGGAAATATCAAAAAGTGCTCACTTTCAATATCTTGGGTCGATAATCCAAGAAAATAAAAAAATTGAGGAAGATGTCGCACATAGACTTAGAGTTGGGTAGGCGAAGCGGAGATGTGCAACCAGAATTTTATTTAATCGTTGCATACCAATGAAGTTGATAGCTGTGAGACCAGCTTTGCTTTATGGGGTTATGGGGTAGAATGTTGGGCGGTCGAAAAACAACATACCCATAGAATGAGTGTAGCGTAGATGAGGATGTTGAGATGGATGAGTGGCAAGACAAGAAGGGATTGAATTTGAAATGAATACATTCGGGAAAATTTTGGTGCGACACCAATAGGCGATAAGATGTGAGAGAATAGACTTAGCTGGGCTGGCCACGTGTGGCGTAGACCCAGTACAACATCTATTAAGAGGTGCGAGTTAGTTCAAGTGGAAGGCTTAAAAAGGGCAAGAGGTAGGCCCAAAAGGACATGATTAGAAGTAGTGAAAAAAGATATGAGGACTTATGGTCTCATTGAGGGTATGACTCTTAATAGAGCAGAATGACGGATTAGGATTCGTGTAGCTGATTCCAATTAGTTGGCAAAAAGCTTTGATAATGATGATGAATATGATAATGAAACATGAATGAACAAGCGTAGGTGACCAAGGATTGATGGTTTCAAAATCTCCAAAGCAAGATTTATATTCCAATTAAAAGGAAAATTGACAACCCCAAAATTTCTTTCTTGGTCAATTCTTTATATTGTACTGTTTAGAGGAACTGAACATTAAGGCAAAATAATGTTCATCGTTGCATGGCAAAGAAATTTGCTACGTCATTCCTCTCTCTATAGGTGTCCAAGATTTGCAGATAAACTTTCGGAGAAGTCGGTTAATAATGAACCCTCAAAATCATTGTTATTTTCTATTTCTTGTTGACTTTTCGCTAAATTTCTCAGAAGTAAGACTAGGAAGCAATTAGCTTGTAGGTCACTAATTTGTTACTTCATATTTCCATTCCTGATGCTCAATTTAAAGAATGAGCCAATTGATGTTGCTGAGATGGTCTTGACTCTACACCAAGATCCTCTGATTTGGTTCAAAATAATAGGAGTTTGGTATTTTAGACATTGCTGATCGAATCCTTTGTTGTTGCTTTTTGGAAACAAAACAGGAAGTTCCGATTTCAGTACCATATTTTTTCCAATTATTTTCCTGTGTATTAGTATTGTCTCCATTTTCTATGATCCATGGCTTGACTCTCACGAACAGTTTGCAATAGATTAGTTCTATTCCACAATGTGGAATTTCTCTGTCCCAATCTGATTTTAGCATAACATGTGTTTCTTGATGTACTTCATCAGAGGTCTGCTCTAATCTTATCTTTAGTCCTCATTCTGAGCTTCGGGTTGGTCAAAAGATATTGTCCAAGAACTTGAAGAGTAGAGTTAGGGTTTTTCCAAGTTCCTTCTATGAACAATGCTTTACTTCATGCTTTCAAGTTCACTGAAGGGAGAGTGATTGGAATATTTGTGGAACGTTGTTTTGGATAATTTTAGACACTCTATTTTCGTGGAGTAAATTTGCAGATGTTTAAGATCCAAAACCGTGAATCACAGCCAAGGAAACACCTTGCCTTACAAATCCCTAGATCCAAATTACACCTAGTCCCTTAGAAGCAACCAAGATACCATCTGTTGGACAACCTAGCAACGCTAAAATGACCCTTTAGAGTCTGAAAACCATTACCCATCTAAATCCTTTCAAAACTAGGCTGATTTATTTACCAATTCCTAGGAAAATACATAATTCTAAAAGTTCCAAGAATCACTTATTCTATATGCCTTTTGAAAGTTACAAATGAAACACTGAATAACCTGTTAGATGCCATTTCCATGTCCACCAAACCACATTCCACATTGTACACCGCACAAGGTGGGGCATGCAGGGAATTGGTCTTGCCCTGCCATCCTAAGATTATCTAGAAGATGTTGGGATTCACCCTCTGTGTAGGACCCATTTAGGGTATATCCCAATTGACAATTTGAAATTTGAAAGTGACACCTATAGATAAAAAAAACCGATAACTTCCAGAATTAATGTCCAGTGTAGGTTATATAATATTGTTAAGAATTTCAGAAAGCTTACTAATAGATCAAGAACTGTCTCAATTCAATCTATGTTTGGAAAGTTATGAGCAAAATACTATATTTTATGAAGTGACCATCTTTTCCTACATGGAAACTATCATCCTAATTCCAGACCAGTCTTCTACATGGTTTCCTATTTGATTCCTAATAGATTTAGGTTAAAGCCCAGCCATACATATCTCTTATAAGCCTAGTCCCTCGAAGTCTATAGAAAGAATCCCTTCTACACATTTGCAATTGGGGGGCTTCTAAAATTAAGACAAATCTCTTATATCTCTGAGGGATCTCAAGGTTAAGCTTCAAGGAGCCTTAAAAAAATTAGGAATTGAAGGAACATCTGAGGTGTTGTCATTGAGGTAGCAGGAGAGAAGAGGGGATATAAGTTTGCTTGAGATTGTGCCAACTTAAGGTGCCAGGGCTGAATTAGTGATCTTGAGCCATCTTCGTTCAAGTGGCACTATTTATAAATTTACTTCAGCTGACTGCACTTATAGTGCATGCAAATGGGGCACCGGTGCTCCACTTCGGCCTACTTTGGGAGGCTTTCTTTGGCGAGACCAAGAGTGGACTGGTTACTTTGGTGTGCTTCGGTGGCAGAGGCAGTACAAGAACTGCCTCTTCGAACGACCACAACTTTGGTTTGTTGCTCCGATTTGGGCTTATGAACACCTGTGTCCAAGGCATCGCTGAGCTCTATGATACGTGACCCAGCCTTGCCTGTTTTATCCATCAATTTGGTCAAAAATGCTTCCAAAGGCTAGAAATCTGAGCCTAATGTTGTTAGTGCAAGATCAAGACTAGTGTTATTCCTTGTCAAGGGTGGGGATATTTCCTTTGTTAAGGGTAAAGAGTATCATTTTGCCGTTATGGTTTTTTGTTCTTTCCCTTGGGTATTTAGATATTGACAGTTATTGACTACTAGAGGTCAGTTATATTGTGGGAAAGGTTGTTTAATCATTGTCAGAGGAGATTTGATTTCAGAGTTGAGTGCGGTACTTCCTGAGTATTGCAGATTCAAAATATGTGGAAGTGTAGGCCTTAAGGTTGGGTTTCAGCATGGTTTTAACATTACTTGTTGATGTCACTGATAGATGATTTATGGAAATGCTTAAACTGCTGAAAGGCAGGGTTCCTTCTTTGTGATGATTCTGGAATTCACGTGGTGTTTGCAGATTTTTGTAAGCATGTCTGCTGTGCAATGTCTGTCACTCATATTCAGAGTAAATACTTTTGTTGTTCTATAGGTTAGCATTGTTGTTCTATAGGTTAGCATATTTCCTTACTCTTTATCTACATTTGAGAATCTAAAGGTGATTGTAGTACTATGATTTAATTGGCTTTGCCCCACCCTATGAACCTTGCTGTACTATGGTTCCATTGGTGGGCCCCAACCTTATGCACCTTGTGAGAATCATTTATCCATTTGGTCATTACCAAATTATGTAAGTGTAACACATAATCAAGGCTGGACAGTGCTAGAAGATTTGTTTATGAAAAAGAAAACCTGACTTTATCATAGATGTGGGTAGGTATTAGAGCCGAATATGAAAAAGTCCACCTGTTTTAGTGATCGCTAGCTGCAAATGGTTATCCTGTTGCTATTTTGATAGTCTTTGCAAGATATCCCGTCCTTGTAATGTGGAGATGATTCAATCAGTTTCTTCAGATCAGTTATATAATTCTCATGTCTTTGACCATTTTTAATTAAATACTAATAATTTTAACCTTTTTTCCTTGTTTTTGGATATTTTATACTTACTGAAATGGTATAATAAAGCATAGCCTTTTATAGTCTTTGAGTTGAATCCATATTTCCATGTGACAAGTCATTTGTTCAAGTGTTGACCAATTGCTATCTGTGATATTTTATTATTCTATTTGTAAGTATGAAGAATTCCTTCTTGCACAGGAGAACATTTCCCTTTTATAGCAAGTTTATTTGTTGACCATCTATGCATTTCTCCCTGGCATTTATTTTTTCTTGCTACTGGCAAAGTCAAATGGCCCTTTGAAGGACCATTAACTGAGTTATCTGTGTGTTCTTTATAGAATTATGGATTTATGAATTATTGTATCCAATCTGTTTATCTCTCTGGTGATGCTATTCAAAATCACCATTTTATTGTTCTTTTGTACTAAGAATTCTACGTTGCTCTGTTATTAAGAGACTTGAAAACCTTTCTCCAGAGCTTCCCAATGAGTTAATTGAAGACCCAAAGTTTGTTCCTTTGAATGCTGATGATCCCAGATATGGTCCACCAGTAAGTAGGCTTCTTCATTTTCTTTACTTGTTTATTTGTTCCTTTTTTTTTGTGGTGCTTGAGTCTAAGGAACTTTGGAGCTCTTCATTCTAAATTGTCTTAAAGAGTTTCAAAGAATTGGTTGGAATGTTATGCTTGTTTGGCTGTAAATAAAAATGTTTATTTATTTATTTATGTTGATGTAGATGGCTATTTACAAGGTTTTTCACAAACTGCATTAAAATCAATATGTGGTTGGGGTTGTTTGGTAGTCATTTTCATCAAATTGTGAGCCCTAAATCGATCAGATAGGACCCATGGCTGGTCCAGTGTAGTGTGGTCTTAATAACATTCATCGAAATATCCATTAAGAGTGTGACATCCAGCTTTGGGAAGTTTCCATGTTATATTATTACAACCCCAAATGGATTGAAGATGAATGGAATGGAGGAGATTTGAGAAGGTAGAATTTTGGGGGCGAAGTTCACTTGTAAGCGATTAGTATATGGTTCACTAAAGAGCTGCATATACCATAATCTATGACTAGAATTTCATTGAGCGATAATAGAATTATGAATTTGACCTCACAAATATATGTAGAATGACTATCAATTATTATAGAAGACAGGCTAGTTTGTTTGTGCAATGAACACTATTCAAATGTCATCTTACTTAGAACAGTACCAAAATGGAGAAAGGCTCAGTTTGGGAAAGTGCAATCAATGTGTTCTCACCCTATAAGCCTAATGTTAGGCGGTTACTGGGGTATGCTTTGCCATATGCCTTTCCTTTTATGTATGCTTCTAATATACAGCCTTTGTCATGCTGTAAAGGTGCCTCCAAAGTGAAATCAGCCCTGGTTTATCCATCTCCCTATTTTCCAGCTCTTTGGTTGACGTTTTTATGTATGGAACATTACATATGTTTTGTATTTCATACCATGTGGCTGTAGCCTTATTAATTACGTTGAGTATATGAGAGAGAGAGAGAGAGAGAGAGAGAGAGAGAGAGAGAGAGAGAGAGAGAAGAGAGAGTAGTAGAGAGAAGAAGTAGTGTAGTTGTGTACGTTAGTAGTAGTGAGTAGTAGTACGTTAACGTTACGTTTACGTTAGTAGTAAGTAATACGTACGTAGGTA